ATAAAAGTTACGCCTTCTTTCTTTGCGTGAACATTTGGGCGGCGTTATGCAAATCTTCCCACATAGTGATGTAGATATGTGGGGGCGTGTTAGAACGAGCCGTTTTAGGTAGGTGTGGCTGACTCTTAACTTTTATAAAGAATATCTCTTTGGATTTGAGACTTTAGTCTTTGTAACTTTACAGATCTTCTTTATGCACCAAGAGCTTGTAACACTCCAAAGAGAAAGGAAAAATTGAAATCGCATCATATGACCCCTTTAACGGTGTGAGTTATAGGTGTACTTTTTTCTTGTACCACTAGGTGGCAGGACCAAACAAGGCTTATGGATGAGATCTCTGCTTGCTTGAGGAATGAGAGCTGTTTGATTTTTACCATATTTTGAGTACCTCAGTGATTGATATTGCTAATGCCATGTTTACTTTATTTTCATCGTTTTAAGGCACTATCCCATTGGCGTTTTGTTTGATCTCCACGCTTCAAACACAGCTCTGCCCTGGAATGTCTCAGTGCACTTTAAGGTGTGTAGACTCATTCATTTACTTTTCATGAAGTTATTAATATTCCACAGTTGTAATTTCCTTTATTTTGTAGAACTTCCCAGAACATGACTTGCTTCACTGCCCATCGAATTCTGTGATAGAAGCGCATTTCATGTCATGCATTAAAGAGGCAGATGCACTCAAACACAAAAGCCAAGTCATCAACGACATGCAGAAAAAAGACCATAAACAACTGTGGATGGGTCTGCAGAATGGTAAGAACTGCTGACATACTTGATACTCACATTTATTTCTGAACTTTTTTCTAAAAAAAAAAAAAGATGTATGGATGTAAGTTAACCTACTAAAATGATGCATGGATAATAAAGTAAATATACAAAAGCCTGCAAAAAATCATGAATGGATAATTAAGTAAACATACGTTGTTCAAGTTCAGTAAGAGTTCATCTTGAAATATTATATTTATTCTTATGTTTAAGATTTCACAGCAAAGAGATACTTGTACTGCAACCTGTTGGTGGTACTAAAATGACTTTTACTTGCTAAAGACATAAACTGTCAATCAAATGACAGAAGGCATGTAGGACGTTCATATATCCTGTTTTGCTTGCACTCTTCAAGAGCATAATCTGTAAGGCAAGACAATACAGATGGGAATATTTTAAAGGGGTGGTTGATTGTGATTTCACTTTTTTAACGTTAGTTGGTGTTTAATGTTGCTGTTTGAGCATAAACAATATCTGCAAAGTTACAAAGCTGAAAGTTCAATGCAAACGGAGATATCGTCTTTTAAAATTCTGGCAGTTTAATGCCTACAAAAACGGCTGACATAGTGATGTAGATATGTGGGGGCGTGTTAGAACGAGCCGTTTTAGGTAGGTGTGGCTGACTCTTAACTTTTATAAAGAATATCTCTTTGGATTTGAGACTTTAGTCTTTGTAACTTTACAGATCTTCTTTATGCACCAAGAGCTTGTAACACTCCAAAGAGAAAGGAAAAATTGAAATCGCATCATATGACCCCTTTAACGGTGTGAGTTATAGGTGTACTTTTTTCTTGTACCACTAGGTGGCAGGACCAAACAAGGCTTATGGATGAGATCTCTGCTTGCTTGAGGAATGAGAGCTGTTTGATTTTTACCATATTTTGAGTACCTCAGTGATTGATATTGCTAATGCCATGTTTACTTTATTTTCATCGTTTTAAGGCACTATCCCATTGGCGTTTTGTTTGATCTCCACGCTTCAAACACAGCTCTGCCCTGGAATGTCTCAGTGCACTTTAAGGTGTGTAGACTCATTCATTTACTTTTCATGAAGTTATTAATATTCCACAGTTGTAATTTCCTTTATTTTGTAGAACTTCCCAGAACATGACTTGCTTCACTGCCCATCGAATTCTGTGATAGAAGCGCATTTCATGTCATGCATTAAAGAGGCAGATGCACTCAAACACAAAAGCCAAGTCATCAACGACATGCAGAAAAAAGACCATAAACAACTGTGGATGGGTCTGCAGAATGGTAAGAACTGCTGACATACTTGATACTCACATTTATTTCTGAACTTTTTTCTAAAAAAAAAAAAAGATGTATGGATGTAAGTTAACCTACTAAAATGATGCATGGATAATAAAGTAAATATACAAAAGCCTGCAAAAAATCATGAATGGATAATTAAGTAAACATACAACGTTGTTTCAAGTTCAGTAAGTGTTCATCTTGAAATATTACTAACAATATTACATTTATTCTTATGTTTACTTTATAAAGATCAGTATAGATTTTACAGCAAAAAGACACTTGTACTGCAACCTGTAGGTGGTACTAAAAGGCCTTTTACTTGCTAAAGACATAAACTGTCAATCAAATGACAGAAGGCATGTAGGACGTTCATATATCCTGTTTTGCTTGCACTCTTCAAGAGCATAATCTGTAAGGCAAGACAATACAGATGGGAATATTTTAAAGGGGTGGTTGATTGTGATTTCACTTTTTTAACGTTAGTTCTGAAAGTTCAATGCAAACGGAGATATCGTCTTTTAAAATTCTGGCAGTTTAAGGCCTACAAAAACGTCTGGTATCTGGTAGGGCAAGTTACTTCCCGGGTTCGTGAGGTAACAAACCCAGATAACCCCGCCCTCGGGAAAAGGGAAAAGGCAGGGCGAGGCCATGCTGCGCTGCTTTAGAGAGGAGGAAGAAAACTAGGGGTGCAGGTAAAAATCTATTTATATATGAATCGCGATTCTGTCTTCTAACGATTCTAATGGATTCACAGTAG